GGATCCGTTTTGGGCCCTTTACTTTTTAATATTTATATAAATGATATTGTAGAGACTATTCCTGAGAATAATATTATATTGTATGCAGATGATATTGTTATAACATATGCAGATTGGAATCTTCATTTGGTTGAAAATAATATAAACTCTTTGTTATCTAAATTAAGTAAGTACATGGAAAATAATAACTTAAGAGTAAATGAAAATAAAACAAATTATATTTGTTTATCAAATAAAAACAAAAAAGTGAATTTAGAAGATATACAAGTAAGAATAAATAATGAACGTATTCAAAGAGTTAATACTGTAAAATATTTAGGAATCGAAATTGATGATAAGTTACGATGGAACAATCATATAAATAATTTAACACTGTCTTTATCTAGATATATTGGAATACTGAAAAGAATAATGAGTTTTTTAAATTGTGAGACTGTTTTGCGCTTGTATCACGCTTGCATGGAACCTAAACTTCGATACGGTATTTCTGTATGGGGTACAGCTTCTTCTTTTGTATTGAATAGATTGCAAGTTATACAAAATAACTTTATAAGAGCATTATATAAGTTGCCTTATGATTCCTCTGTCACTTCTTTTTATAACCAGATCAAAATTGATAAAATAAAAACTTTATATAAAAAACAAGTTCTTTTGGAAGGTTTTAAACTAATAAAGGTGAGCAAGAAAAAATCTTATATAAGCGAAGAATTAAATAAATATTTTAGGCCTTCTAATTACAACTACCGATGGAGAAATAACTTGCTTTTACCAAAGGTTAAGCATAGTTTTGGAAGAGATGCACCAATTTATCAACTTATATATAGTTGGAATGCCTTAAAAGAAGAATATAAAGAATTGTGTACTTACGGACAATTTAAACGGGCTGTAAAAATATTGAGATGTGATTAGTTGAGTGTATTTTTTTTTTTGTGTGTGTTTTGCTGTTATTGTATTTTTCTTCTCTGTTCTTTTTTGTTGTTTTGTTGATTGTATACTTGGTAAACGTCTGTATCATTAATTTTTCTTTTGACCCTTGAAAAAGGCCAATGGCCATAGGGTCGTATGATTAAATAAATAAATAAATAAATAAATAATCGTAATAAATAAAAGTATATGTAGTACCATCTGTTATAAGATTTTCTTATATATTTTAAATTATTATAAAATGCAAAAGACTTAATTTTGAGGAAAAACATGAGTTTTATATTAAAAAAAACTAAATGCTAACGAGTAAAATCTTCGTTAAGTCCGATGCGATTGGAAATCTTCTCTATCCCCCGACGTGATCATTCTCTGTCTTTCCATTCCCTCGACCGTTCGCAACCAAAATTTAATAGCACCGATGACCCACCTACCCAAACTACCGTACCAAATTTCGTTTCTTAACCTTTATCCCATCCCGAGTTATTAAACGAAATAAACGCCAATACACACCTTCATACACGCGCACTAACATTCACACATACAGAAACTCCCCCTGAACTTTTGTGCATTTCTCTACGTCCCGAGTCCAAAAATGTATAAATCCGAGAAGGGTAATTTTTTGCCAGATCGCCATACTTTTCCTCTGTTATATGTAATATCCGGTAAAGTTAAAAATTGAATTACAGTATTATAAATTTAATATCATTTTACGTGATTTCCACAAACTCGTTTGTTCTTTCTTATTACGTTTCCGAGAATCGAGAGTGACGACGCGAGTCGTCACTTTAAACAATTGTTTACATTTTTTTGGTAAAGGTGATCAAAGCTGCAAGGACATCACTGGTGTTTGCGTTAAACGTCAATATTTGAAACGAAATACAAACACATTCATTCGGTGAGCGTTATTAAACGGAATTGCTTAAAATATAATTTATAAAACATTGCTCAATATTACGAATTCTTCCTCTACCGGTTACTGAAAGACAATAGAATTTTACTTGAGCCGCCATCCTACCACAATTCTAGAAAGTTATATTTTTAAACATGTAAATTCTAGTTTTACGTAATTGTAATTTCTCGTTCAAATTCGTGCATTTATTTTAAGTGTCGATGCGGATCAAGTATTATCCGAACACAACGAAATGTGCTTAATAAATCTCAATACCCTTTGTCTTTCATCAAATATTGATGTTTCTCAAATAAATTGCATCCGTTTTCGATTTTAACCGAGTTTTCCATTAATTGTTTGAACAATAATTCTTGGAATATGTGTGTATTTCATTCGAAATATTGACGTTTCACGCAAACACGCGAGACGTCCTTCGACTTTGATCGTGTTGACCGAAGTCACGTAAACATTTGTTGCATTCGCGAGTCGCCTTTTGTCTCCCTTTTCTCGGAAATGCGTCAGAAGAAAATTAAATGAGTTTCTGCAGTGTATACGACAGAGAAAAATAATTTTCGCAGACAATAATTCAGTTTGAGGTAGAAGAAATCGTTTATTCTTCTGGCATACGAAGTTCCGAAACTAAGTTTTAAGTTTACGAATTTTTCGATTTAAGATCCACGTCCAAAAAAAACAGAAAACAAAATATGAAGGAAACGGATTCACGAACGAATCGAGACACGGCGATGTACAGTTTTAAGGCGTGGAGTCCGTTGTTACGCAGCATGTCGCTCTTCGGATTAAAGATGGAAGGAAAGGGATTCCATTCGCAGGCAATTATTTCGTTAGTCGTGGCAAAGATATTGGTGTGTCTGTACACCTTGAGAGTAATTAGCGCCTTCGCCGAAAATGCGAATTTCGTTAAGATTTGTCTGACGGCATTTTTCGTATTTACTCAGATAATCCCATTTGTTTCGTGTTATCGATTTCATCTGGATCGAACGAAGATTCGTACTCTGGTTCAGAATATCGTAAAAATTTCTGGTGTCAGCGGAGTCAACGAGAGAATATTAACGCTTCGAGTCGGTTTTCTTTGGCTTTACTTCGTTTTAGTTAATATTATCAATGTAGTCGCCGTCTTCACTGGCGCCAGTAACTTTATTTCGCAGATAAGTCTTAAATTTGGTTTCGGAGCAATGGAAGAATATTTTTTTCGCTTTCTCTACGTTTTGTTTTCAGTTTTGTATACGGCAGTGTTTATGTTGCCACTGAATTTCATATTTTTATACTTCGAACTGATATGTCAAGAAGTTAAACACGCTTTCAAATCGTTACGCTTTGTCTTAGCGGGAGAAGGTGAAAGAAGGAAAGACGTGCCTCGAATAATCACGGAGATTAATCTACTACTCGAGTATTTAATACTCGTTCGCGACAGTTTCTCCGCGCAATTACTCTTGTGGTCCATCCAGGTAGGAGGAAACATCATGGGAAACATCGGACGTCTCCTGAGTTTCTACGATAGTACCACTTGGGTGCATCATTCGAAAATGATTTTCATTTCCGGTTTTTCGTTTTTTCAGTTTGCCAAGTTGTGTTTTTGCGCTTCAGGTGTTCACAAAGAGGGAGAACTTCTTTGTTCCTCTTTGTATCGGAATTCCGTCTCGCTTAGTGACAAAATGCGAGAGGAGGTATTTCGATTTTACGTGAAGGTGTGGTTGGAATTCCCCCGTTTTACCGCTTGGGAGATGTTTAACGTCGACAAAAGTCTCGTTCTCACCATCGTCAGCGTACTTTTGACTTATATTGTTCTCGTTTATCAATTCAGCAATATTAACGCTAAATAATTTCCAAGTTTGAAAATATTTCTTTCGTTTCCAGTTTCTTCAAAAATGCAATTACAGCCATGTGTACGCGTTCTTGTGTATCACTATTTGTGTTAACTTTTAAAATTGTTCTATTTTTAGTGAAAGAATACGGTTAGTAAAATATTCTTTGACAATGAAATTACACTATACTTAAGTTAAATTTTACAAGTTGCCGAAGGACTTGTAAGTCCACGCAAGCAATAGTAAGCACCATCGTAGAAGAATTGCCCAACAAGTGTAAACTGATGACACTCGCGTAGGACTGCCTACAAATAACTGTTGCACGCCGTGTTTTTCAAAAAAATAAAAGAAGAATTCAACGTCAAACTTGTAATACACGAACTCACGTATAAAAAAATTCATATCGGGTATGCCTAAATTGTCGAAAAAATTCGCTTTTCGCAGCTTAGTGTAATAAATAAAATTTAAAATCTGTTCGATTTTGTCTTTATAAACACATAATAAAACGAATAAAACTACCATTAAATATTATTATAAGTATTAATTTAGATAAGAAATAGAACCTAACCTCTACCTCCAATACCAAATTACTTAATATCTAATTATAAACTGTAGCAAAATAGCAGCTCGATTAACTACGGAGATCGTTTGGTTTAGTATCAAATTTGACCCTCTCGGCTTTTTGTAAATGTCCGCATTTCCAGTCTCCCCGAAACAAAAAAAAAAGTAAAAAAAAGGCAAAAATAATTCCGCGGATGCGATGTGTTAGCGTTTATTTTGTTTAATATATCAGGAAAGAATAATGATAGAGAAACGAAATTTGGCACGGTAGCTTGTGTATAAGAAACGTTGATGCTATTAAATTTTGATGGTGACAGGTCGAGAAGGCGAGGAGATAGAAAGGGTCGCGTGTCGTATCGAGGAAAATGACGAAGAAAAGTGAAAATTTCCACCGTCACTTAATTTTTATAATACCCATCCCTACCCTGAAAATTGAGCATTTTTCCATTTTATAATAGTTAAAAATATAAAAAAAAAAAACTTTTAAAATAAACTAAATTATATTCATTATTACTATTTACCTCAAGAAGATAAAAATATCTCTTAAATATAGGATCTTTTGGATCTTCTAATCCTCGAAGCTGTTGAATGAAAAATTCAAAAATGACCTGGAAAGATTAATTAATTTTTTTTTAAATTTGATAAAATATAAATATAACCAGTAAAATTTAAATGTTTAAAGCATAAATTATATTAATATTAATGTTATATGCAATGTTATAATTTATGTTTCAAATTAAATATAAGAATTTATTTTTGAAATAACAATACATTCTTTTGGCTAAAATACATTTTTATAAATTTATAACTAATTTTATCAGTGTCATTTACAAGTATTTTAAATTTAACAGAATTATGTTTTTCAAGAAATTCAATGGTTTGATTGCTTTTATCTATCCACCGCTTTCTCAGCAAGTAATTAACTTCAGTTTCACCAACATCTAATTTTGCTGAGCTTAACTTCTTTTTATTTTTACAAACATTATCAACCTATTTACTATAGGCCACTGTCAGGTTTAATATAATGTTTCAAAATAGAACATAATGTTTTCGAATATTTTATATTTTCAAATTTAAAAAATAACTTTTAAAATAAATTGATAGAAGTGTGTATATTAAATAAAATAAATAAATAAACAAATATTTCCATCTCCAATGCGATGGGTGAAGAGTGCATTGTTTTAATGACTTTAGCCTCTTCCCATTTTACAATCACTTCTTCAGTCTGTGCTAATATTGTGTTGCTGTGTACTTTGTCAACATTGTATCTATGTTCTTGCAGATGTACCTCCAGGTTTCTTCTAGTTGCAATCACATAATCTTTTTTGACTTCTAACTGTTGATTTTCAAATGGTGTTTTATATACCCCAGCTTTCTCTTCCTTTTTTATGCTGTCTTTATCAATCCATAATAAGCTATACATATTGGGTGCTCTTTTATAGACCATTCTCGAGTTTTTATAAGAGGCGTGGTGAATGAGTTAGTTTCTTACAAAAACTCAAGAATGGTCTATAAAAGAGCACCCAATATCTATAACTTATTATGGAACGATAAAGGCAGCATAACAAAGGAAGAGAAAGCTAGAGTATATAAAACACCATTTGAAAATCAACAGTTAGAAGTCAAAAAAGATTATGTGAGTGTGACTAGAAGAAACCTGGCGGTACATCTGCAAGAACATAGATACAACATTGACAAAGGACACAGCAACACAATATTGGCAATTATGGCACAGAGTGAAGGAGTGATTGTAAAATGGGAAAAGTGGCTAAAGTCATTAAAACAATGCACTCTCCACCCATTGCATTGGAGATGGAAATTTACAAACATTTACAAATGAAAAACCATTGCCTAAATGCTAGGGATGCTAATGTGCTTCTAACAGCAAGAAAATATATAATAGAAAAAAGAATGGGATTTAAAAACCTTAAATTGTGTTTCTTTACTATATTTTATTTGTTTATTTATTTATTTTATTGAACCTATCCCATATTGAAATTTTTCTCTGTTGCACGTGCCACCATGTTGAATTTTTGTTGATGTTAAGCCTAACAATTTTTTTTTTTAAAATAATAATTGGGGCTACTGTATCGTTAAAATGATTTTTTTTTATTTTGCACAAACACAATAAATTTATTGAAAAAAAAAAATNAAATAATATATAATAATAATAATTATATACAACATAATAAAAAATATTCTTTAAACTTAGCTTTTTATACAAAACTGCATTTAAATTGTATTTTTTTTACTTATGGAATGCATTAAGTAATTATATAAACTGAATAGCCATTATACTTTTTCAATTTTTATACTCTTAAGCTTGATTATTTATAGTTTCATCTTCATTTGCTAAAACATTTTTTGAAATTAATCTGTCTCAGCATCAGATCAAATCACTTATTAACATTTTGAATTGTTTAATTATTTATTTTTCAAATTATTCATCACACATAACTGATATTAGAAGCAACTAATATAGTACTAATTTAAAAAATTTAAATCAAATTGTTTAATACATATATACAGTAAAATCTGCTTAAGCAACCACCTGCATTCAATGGGCAAAAATTTCTGGTACCAAATAGTTTATCCATAGAGTCTTCATATAAGTTACCTGTATTAAATAACCACCTGTGTAATGCAGCCACGAGCATCAATTTTTGGTCGGAAACAACACACAACAACTGTAATAAACGACCACTTCTGCGAATATATCTGGTCTAAACTATTGTTCAAACCCACCTCGGGCACTTCTCCCACTCTTGAAATTAAGTGCAGGCGTTAATGGATTAGTCCAGCTACAAAGGAAATTCATTTGTTTGTTCGAAAATGTCCGAAAAACGAAATAAATGCAAAGTGAAATTGTTAGAAGATTGTGTTAAAGTTATCAGAAAAAGTGAAAATGATTTATCACAACGACAATTAGCGGCAAAGTTTAACTGTGGGAAAACGCAATTTATTTTAATGTAGACCTACAGTAATTTCCTTAGGAGTATAAAAATATTGTGCACATCAATTAATCAGCTGATCTCATTATTTATTTTTAAGCTCATATACAGTACATGTATGATAAACAGTTTCTGTATCAATTTATGTTATTTTTGCAATATTTTTAGAAAAATAATATCCAAGTAATTTTTGCACACAAAATATTAAAAAAACAATAAATGCATTAATGCAAAAATCAGTTTTACAGGCAACCTTCCCTTTTCAACTCTGTAATTGTCATTGATGTAATGAAATCGTACTATGAGAAGAAATAATAAAATCATTTTGTTACTGATTAATAATTTTTTTTATTGTACTTAAGAAAATATTGAATATTTTAAAAAACTACAGTATTTTTAAGCTAAAATAAGATTAAACTAACAAAAAACAAAACTGAACTGGTGGAGAGATACATCACGCTTCTATATCGATGATGTAATACACGTAAGTGAGGAGCTAACGAAGAAAAGTTGAATTAATTAAGTTGGGAAAAAAAAAGTATGCATTATAATAAAAAAAATGTGAATACTGTATTAATCTTTAAAATATTGGTATTAAATCTGTATTATAAAATCATGATGACTCCTGTTAATCAAGTTATCCGATAAGAATAAAATACAATACCAATATAGCTCTACCATTGAAAAAATTTGCTTATTTTTGCTCACCTCACATTTTGCTTAGAGGAATTGCTAAAAAGTAGTGTTGCAATGAATAGTATATTTGGCCTCAGACCAAATACCGAATATTCGGCCAGGAGCATGGCCAAATAGCCGAATATTCGGCTCGATTAATGCACGCACGAAAATTGGCGCACAAACCGCATTATGGCAAGGACCCTGCTCTCTATTGGCCCACTGTCACTATGCTTCACCAATCGTGTTAATTCTTGACAGTTGAAGCGGACAGACATGAGCGCCATGGCAGTATGTGATTAAGTGATGATATCAAATGTGGATAACAAAGAAATGACCGACATGTGTAAATAACGGAAGAAGAACAGAGAAGAACTGCAAAGTGAAAACGTGAAAATAAATATGAAATTGAGTTGATAACATAATCGAACAAGTCGATTATGTTATCAACTCAATAAGCTGCCTCAAACAAGTCGAGGCAGCTTATTGGCGTGAAATTCGCAGCCGTGAATGTCAAACAATTGTTGTCATAGACTTCGGAAAGCTAAATGCTTGTAATGAAAGTCACTTAGCATGCACGGGCGAAAGCCTAGGGTTGTTCGGGCTACCAAGCTGTTTCAAATCTGTGAAATCATAACTGTGACTTATACTGATGTCCTATCTGTCTCTTTTCTCCGTTATCACCAGGCTATGAGTCACGTAATTGTAAAATGGGAAATTTATGACGGAAAAGTGATGAATAGAAAGTATCATGAGGGCACATTATGATGTATGCATAGGCATATGTGGACTAGAGTGATAGACGAAAGAGAAAGGGAAGAGCTAAGACGAGTGCTTAAAAAAAAGGATAGGCAGGGTCAGACCCTCAGATGTGCGACGATTCTCGAATGAATAGGTGTGTACGTGTGCTGATCTTTGTAATTATAAATTGTGAATACAAGTGACTAATATTATGGTCTTTTTTATTTTGTGCATGTTATAAGTTATAAATAAATATAAACAAACAACACTAACCTGACAACATTAAATCTAAATACCAAAATGATTAATTTACTGTGTTTTTGTTATTTTTTACTCCTGTTTTTAGGTATTCGGCTGAATAGTGATTAAATATTCGGTATTTGGCTGAATAGCGAAAAATAGGCCAAATACCGAATAATAACCGAATATTCGTTACATCACTACTAAAAAGTGCACAGAATATGTACAGAAATACAGTACTACAGCACCACCTGTATTGGACAACTATCTGTCTAAAAGACCACTTTTTGAAAGGAACCATGTGTGGTCACCATAGACAGGTTTTTCTGTATATATATAATGTGCTCTAATTCTCATTTTTATAATAGTAAAATTTCTTCAAAGATAAAATTAAACTGTTTGGATATTTAAATATAATTTAAATGTATAAAGTGCAGAAAAGCCAAATAAATATTTCAAATATTAACCAACTAAATATATAATACTGTACAAAATATCTGGAGTACTGTAAGATATGCATTTAATATTTGCCAAAAGATGTCTGAGATACAGTAACAGATTGAAATAGCATTACCATTTATCACACTATGCAATTAAAAGAAACAATTCTTCAGCTTTCATAGCAAATCTATATCATAATACAGTAGAGTCCCGAAAACTCGGCCTAAACTAACTGTAAACTAAAGGGTAGCCGAATTTGTGAAAATGCCAGGTTATCAGGAATAGGATTAAAAAAGAATAAGTACGAGTGTTTCCTCAGAAAATACTGTACTGTACTTGTATGTATTGTTTGCTTGAGAATACAACAGAGAATAAACTGCCCAAATACCCTTAAACAAAGGAAAAGTATGTACTTTATGAAAGCATAGAGCCTTTACTACATGAAAATGAAAATTAATGAATACACTGTGTACAGTAATTTACCTGATAAGACAGATCTCAGAAAAATACTTTAAGAGGCATAAAGCTGTCTATAATGAAAATTTACAAGGGGTTTTTTTGCCCTGCCAGAATGTGGCTGAGTTATCCAGACTGCCAGGTTATCGAGTGCAGAGTTTTCGGGACTCTACTGTATTAAAAATAATTAAAATACAAAACTTTTCAAATTTTTTCAATCGGAAAAAAAAATTTTTATATAAAGCAATTGTTCTGTTAAACATTAAAATTAAGTTCTTAACATAACATTTATACTTATAATATTTAAGACACTTGAAAAATATTTATATAAATTTTGGAGTATGCATAGAATACTTTAAAATAGAGACAGCATGTAATTTTTTAAATTACAAAATATAGAAAAGCAGACCTTGTTAAATATAAAAATTTTAAAAGTGATATTGAACAATGCTAAACATATTTTAAAAATTTTCTTTATCCATTTCATTTTTATATTATCACATTATTAAAGATAATGTTATTATAAATTACAGTAGAGCGTCGTTTATCCGAAAGATTTCCAATCAGCAAATTTAAATTTTCACTAGTGCTGTAGCGCTGCAATCTTTGGCTGTATCTTGGGCTACTCCAATATTTTTTTGTTGATATGTGTTTTAGCTGGCAGCACTGGCACTTTTGTGTGGTGTTTTTCTGAGGACTGTGTCTCGTGCTGAATCGAACGTTTTTGATACAGATTAACTTCTAAAGTATAATTTTTTTTCTTTTTATATTTTTCAATATATTTATTTTGTTTGTAAAAAATAAAAAAATAATTTTTAACGATACAATAGCCACGATTATTATTTTGAAAAGTTTACATTAGGCCTAACATCGACAAAAATTCAATGTGAAGTGACATGCAACGGAGAAAAATTTCAACATGGGATAGGTTAATATATTTTTTTTGTACATAATCGGTTATCCAAAAAATAAGTTATCCGAACAACCCCAGTCCCCAATTGATTCGGATAAATGACACTCTATTGTATTAAAATTAAATAATATTCTATTTACATTTATTTGATTGTTATTCAGTAAAATTGTTTTCATTTAAAAACATTTTGGTTAAAAAAAATAATAATATAGCTTTGATGTCAAATAAATATTTGACATTAAAACTATATTATTCAATATTATTATTTTCTAACCAGAATATTTGTATAAAAATGTTTAAATCAATAGAAATAACAATTTAATCAGCATGCTAATATAACTGACAATAACAACATTATTATTTCTTATTTTTACTCATTTCTATTATTTACTTTTATAAAAAAAAAAAAACTTTTAAAATAAACTAAATTATATTCATTATTACTATTTACCTCAAGAAGATAAAAATATCTCTTAAATATAGGATCTTTTGGATCTTCTAATCCTCGAAGCTGTTGAATGAAAAATTCAAAAATGACCTGGAAAGATTAATTAATTTTTTTTTAAATTTGATAAAATATAAATATAACCAGTAAAATTTAAATGTTTAAAGCATAAATTATATTAATATTAATGTTATATGCAATGTTATAATTTATGTTTCAAATTAAATATAAGAATTTATTTTTGAAATAACAATACATTCTTTTGGCTAAAATACATTTTTATAAATTTATAACTAATTTTATCAGTGTCATTTACAAGTATTTTAAATTTAACAGAATTATGTTTTTCAAGAAATTCAATGGTTTGATTGCTTTTATCTATCCACCGCTTTCTCAGCAAGTAATTAACTTCAGTTTCACCAACATCTAATTTTGCTGAGCTTAACTTCTTTTTATTTTTACAAACATTATCAACCTATTTACTATAGGCCACTGTCAGGTTTAATATAATGTTTCAAAATAGAACATAATGTTTTCGAATATTTTATATTTTCAAATTTAAAAAATAACTTTTAAAATAAATTGATAGAAGTGTGTATATTAAATAAAATAAATAAATAAACAAATATTTCCATCTCCAATGCGATGGGTGAAGAGTGCATTGTTTTAATGACTTTAGCCTCTTCCCATTTTACAATCACTTCTTCAGTCTGTGCTAATATTGTGTTGCTGTGTACTTTGTCAACATTGTATCTATGTTCTTGCAGATGTACCTCCAGGTTTCTTCTAGTTGCAATCACATAATCTTTTTTGACTTCTAACTGTTGATTTTCAAATGGTGTTTTATATACCCCAGCTTTCTCTTCCTTTTTTATGCTGTCTTTATCAATCCATAATAAGCTATACATATTGGGTGCTCTTTTATAGACCATTCTCGAGTTTTTATAAGAGGCGTGGTGAATGAGTTAGTTTCTTACAAAAACTCAAGAATGGTCTATAAAAGAGCACCCAATATCTATAACTTATTATGGAACGATAAAGGCAGCATAACAAAGGAAGAGAAAGCTAGAGTATATAAAACACCATTTGAAAATCAACAGTTAGAAGTCAAAAAAGATTATGTGAGTGTGACTAGAAGAAACCTGGCGGTACATCTGCAAGAACATAGATACAACATTGACAAAGGACACAGCAACACAATATTGGCAATTATGGCACAGAGTGAAGGAGTGATTGTAAAATGGGAAAAGTGGCTAAAGTCATTAAAACAATGCACTCTCCACCCATTGCATTGGAGATGGAAATTTACAAACATTTACAAATGAAAAACCATTGCCTAAATGCTAGGGATGCTAATGTGCTTCTAACAGCAAGAAAATATATAATAGAAAAAAGAATGGGATTTAAAAACCTTAAATTGTGTTTCTTTACTATATTTTATTTGTTTATTTATTTATTTTATTGAACCTATCCCATATTGAAATTTTTCTCTGTTGCACGTGCCACCATGTTGAATTTTTGTTGATGTTAAGCCTAACAATTTTTTTTTTAAATAATAATTGGGGCTACTGTATCGTTAAAATGATTTTTTTTTATTTTGCACAAACACAATAAATTTATTGAAAAAAAAAAATTATATTTTGAGAGTTCATTTTAATACATAAAATTATGACGCATAGCGACATCTAGTATCAAAAACATTCCAATGCAGAAACGAGTATATTTGGGGTCAATGGATCAGGTCAAATGAGATCAACATGAAAATACTTAGGAACAACACGGGACAGGTTAATATACACACTTCTATCCATTTATTTTAAAATTAAGTTATTTTTTGAATTTGAAAATGTAAAAAATTTGAAAATGTAAAACATGTACAAAAATGTTACATTCCATTTTGGAACATTTAATATTAAACCTGACAATGACCTATAGTAAATAGATTGAAAACATTTGTAAAAATAAAAGAAGTTTAAGCTCAGCAAAATTAGATGTTGATGAAACTGAAGTTTGATTACACTTCGCAACATTGATTCATGAGTACCAATTAGAATTACTCAGTAAGATTTTTCTTTATTTATTTATAACTACGAATTAAATGTAACTCAGAATTCTTACTTATAGCATGCTATGAATATGACTGAGATCAAGCATTTGTTACATATTCCTTATAACAAATTTAAATGAATGAGTAAACAATTTACATATGATTGACTGTAAATTTTTTTATTTTAAAAGGGTTATTTCCAATGTTGTTAAACAAAAAGGAGTGATTATCTTTATTCTTGTACCATGTATACTGTATAAAGGCTTTACTGTATTTTGTGATTAATAAATAAAATAAATTTACATAAACATTTAAATAACTATACATATATATGTCTCTTTAATCTGAAAATTACAAGAATTCCGGTAGACTATCTTACAACCTTTAGATCAGGAACATCCTTTATTGAAGATACGAGGGCTGTTCGGAAAGTTCGTGGCCTCAAATAGAACAACAAACAAAATAATGTTAAAACTTTTTTTTATTTTTCAATGTAGTCTCATTTGTTAGCAATGCACTTATTCCAGCGATGTTCTAGCTTTTTTATGCCATTACAATAGGTCGATTTGTCAAGGTGTGCAAAATACTCGTTTACTTCAGAGATGACTTTGTCATTTGAGTGGAATCTCTTTCCAACCAAGAATTATTTTAAATTTGGAAAAAGGTGGAAGTCACTGGGGGCCAAATCAGGTGAGTACGGTGAATGTGGAACTAATTGGAAGCTAAGTTCGTTTATTTTTTGTTCAGTGATTCTGGCATTATCGTGGTGAAACAGAACCTTCTTCTTCAAGTGTGGCCTCTTCGATTTCTTTCTTCAGTTTTTCCAAAA